TATGATCAGCTTGTTGGGGAGAAAAGGATGTCTCTGAAATTTTATATCGGTATAAATTGTGTATATTTAATTAACTATACATAGAGGGTTTTAGTAAAAACAAATGCCAAATTGAGGTAAGCAATAATGGTATATTCGCTTAGTAAATTTAAGTAAAATAAACTAATTAAATAATTACATTAAGGGTCTTAAAAATATCATCGAAATCTGTAAAGTTTCTTTAGCAATTTCTTTTATCACATTCTCATTAAGTATTTTTACTAGACATTTGTATCGAGGCAGATATTAAGTTAGTGTATTCAAGGTACTTACTTATATTAAAGGAAAAACATCCTTTATAAAAATTGTGCCTCTGTGTAACTTTTGTAAGTTTCCAAACTTCAACTGACACTGGAATTTACGTAATAGTAAAATGTGGGCATTTGTTGGTTTTCATAAAGTTCGGCGGTGACAAAGGTTGGAACCACAATATCTTTATCTACCAATGGTAATTAATAAAGTTGGATTTAAAGCTTAAATCCATTAATACAATATTAGACAAATTGAAGAAGAAAGGAATAAGGAAGAATTTTTTCTATTTGAAATGTAAATTTTGTGAAGCAAACTTTAAAGCAATTTTTTATATTTTAAAGACAGCTCACCAAAAAATTTACTTTAAACTTATGGCCAATTCACATAGAACCTTTCCTTTGCTTTGAGTCAGACATTTGTTTCGACTGTATAGTTCGATGTACGCTTATATGAGTCCCTTCCCAGTTCACATAAAAAGTTTTCCATGAAGTTTTTACACTTTATTAGAGAGAAACACTGGAATGTTCATTGTGGCACACGCAAATAAGCTTCGCTTCGCTGTTTCAGTATGAACTTGCATGCAAAGAGATGAATGTTGTATGTGAATGGGTCTTTAGTTTTTAAATACTTTCAAGATACCTCAATTCTTAATGGTATTAACGCTTGAAAACACAGATACCATAAACAAATACCTTCACCTATGAAACTATGATTGAATTTTATAGCTTAACTCCATTTTATTTGACGGCTTTAAGGTAAAAATAAGTTAAAATAGTATACTTATATAACACGTTGAGACGTTATGGAAATTAAAATAACATAAATTGGGAGAGTTTAGGTTCAAGGTAAAGTTGTCTGTAAAAAAACCAAAAAAAAGTTAAATATTCATAGCTGACTGTTAAAACAAAAAGTAAAAGTTAAGTAGATTCAAAGATGAATGCCCCCCGGAGCGATCGTTTGAGTTTGCTGAATACAGAAGTCACACGGAGCTAAATCAGGCGAATACGGTGATTGCGGCATGATATTGATTTCAATCTCATCATCTCGCGACAAACTCACGAAGAATCAATGCAGTATTGAATACGAATAGCTTCGCGCAAACGACGACGACATCTTCATAATCGAACAAAACTGTCAATACAACCTTGATTTTTGACCCGCTTTGACGTGCTGTTTTCTGCTTCGGCTCTCCTTTACCACGGTATTCGGTCATCCTCCTCCAGGTCGTAAGCATTGATCCAAGATTCCAAGACTCTTCGCTAGTAATAATATGTTTCATTATATCCTGGTTGTGGGGAAGAATTCTTTCACAAATGCTACGGGACAACAGCCGCTGTCTTTTAATTCGCTGAACTATGTCAATGTCGTCGTATATCTCGTACAGCTCATCGTTCATTCGCCGTGGCCAACGCGCAAAGGACCATAAATCTTTCGCAGAACTTTTCTTTCGAAATCTCTCAACGTCGACTCATCCGTTGTTGATATCGACCAAGCCTCTGCACCATATAGTAGGACGGGAATTATGAGTGACTTATAGAGTTTGGGTTTTGTTTGTCGAGAGAGGACGTTGCTTGTCAATTGCCTACTCAGTCCGAAGTAGCACCTGTTGGCAAGAGTTATCCTGCATTGGATTTCTAGGCTGACATTGTTGGTGGTGTTTGCGCTGGTTCCAAGATAGACGAAATTATCCACAACTTCAAAGCTATGACTGTCAACAGTGACGTGAGTGCCAAGTCGCGAGTGCGACGACTGTTTGTTTGATGACTGGAGATATTTCGTCTTGCCCTCGTTCACTGCCCGACCCATTTGTGTTGCTTCCTTGTCCAGTCTGGAGAAAGCAGAACTAACGGCGCGGGTGTTGAGGCCGATGATATCAATATCGTCAGTTTGTTGACGGTGGGCTTTAATCTTTCACACAATATGCTCGATAGAACCTTATATGCGATATTGAGGAGGCTTAACCTACGGCAGTTGGCGCAGATTACGGGGTCTCCTGTTTTGAGGATTGGGCATAGCCTGTCTCTTATACACATCTAGATGTGTATAAGAGACAGGCGCGGGTGTTGAGGCCGATGATATCAATATCGTCAGTTTGTTGACGGTGGGCTTTAATCTTTCACACAATATGCTCGATAGAACCTTATATGCGATATTGAGGAGGCTTAACCTACGGCAGTTGGCGCAGATTACGGGGTCTCCTGTTTTGAGGATTGGGCATAGCACACTTGAATTCCAATCGTTGGGCATGCTTTCGTCCGACAATATTCTACAAAGAAGCTGATGCATGCTCCTTATCAGTTCTTCGCCGCCGTGTTTGAATAGCTCGGCCGGCAATCCATCGGCCCCCGCCGCTTTGTTGTTCTGCAGGCGAGCAATTGATATTCGAACTTCTTCCTGATCGGGCAATGGAACGTCTGCTCCATCGTCATCGATTGGGGCATCGGGTTCGCCTTCTCCTGGCGTTGTGCGTTCACTGCTATTCAGCAGGTTGGAGAAGTGTTCCCTCCATAATTTAAGTATGCTCTGAGCATCGGTTACGAGATCACCTCTGGGGGTTCTACAAGAGTATGCTCCGGTCTTGAAACCTTCTGTAAGCCGCCGCATTTTTTCGTAGAATTTTCGAGCATTACCCCTGTCGGCCAGCTTATC